CATAACACCATAACAATAACTGTGAGTGGGGACAATTTTTCCTAGTTCAAATTCGGGCACGCAAAAACTCGGCACGGCAAGGGGTAAGAAACGATGATGCGAGCAGAACACTCATACCCGAGATGCCACCGGCGTGCCCGCAAACCAGCTCGATAGCACCTCGCCTCTTGCGTGAGAGTGGTACTCCAGCCCACCAACGAGGCTGCTGTCGTAAAAGGCATCGCCGCCCGGCTCGCTCACGGCGCCCTCGAACGTGCTCTCCCACCACGCAGAGAAGGCAGCGCTCACAAAGCGGCTGCCCGCCGCCTCGCCGACCGGCGGGCAGAGGACGGTGCACGGCCTCCCTCCGGCGGTGAGGCTCGGCCTGCCGCCTGGAAGACGCATTGCTGCTGCGTGCAGGTAGGCGCGCGCCTCGCAACCGGCGCTCGACGCCGCGTAGCGAGGGTCGCCGAGCACAGGTGCGCCGAGCGATTTGAGGGCGACGCGCAGCTGGTGAGTCCGCCCCGTCGCCGGCTTCAGAAGAAAGGCGTGGCATCCTCCCCCTTCACTGAGAGCTGCGCTCACAAAGTGGGTGACAGCGGGGTTGCTCCGCTCTCGCGTCAGCATCCACTGCCCTCGCCTGCTGCGCGCCATGTCGCCAATCACCCTGCCCTGCTTCTTCTTTGGCTTGCCAGCGGCGAGCGCGACATAGTACTTGTGCACGCGCCGCTCGCGGAGGAGGAGGGCCATCGCCGAAGCAGCCTCGCGGCTCTTGGCCACCGCCATGAGCCCAGAGGTCACGCGGTCAAGCCGGTGGCACGGCAGGAGAGGCTCGTGCAGAGAGCCCAGCTCTCGCAGGCGCGGCAGCAGGCCGGTCTCGTCGTCGGTCGAGTGGAACGCGAGACCAGGCGGCTTGTGGATGAAATAGAGCCCTGCTGTCTCAGCCACGAGGCGCGGCAACGGCTGACACACCACCATCTGCTATGGCCGCAGCCGCTCACTCGGCAGCGGTGGCGAACGGGTGGACGGGGAGAGCGGCCACTGTGGGTGGACGGCGGAACACAGCGAGCGTGCGGCGGCTGCTGCTCGCAACTCTGACACGGCGAGACCGCGGAGGACGGAGGCGGTCTGGTGCAGAGCCTCGGAGAACAACGCAAAAAGAATTTTACAAGACAAGCCCCTCTCACAGCAGACTGGCTCGGACTGCAAAAAGAAAACGCAGCCGCAAAGTCCGCCGCAAGCGGCGTGGCGTGGGTCGGTTGTGCATCCCTCCGGGGGCCCCTCTGCGCCGGGGAGGCGTTGTTGGAGGCTAGGACGCAAGCGTCCGTCGCCCTTTTCAAACTCGGGGCCCACTCACTCCGCTACGCTCCGAGAGGCCGCCGGCCAATACGCGCGGACGAAGAGCTGCCGCGAAGCGGTGGCGATGGCCTCGCAGGCGTCGCTATTGTCGACGCACCATCGCGCCTTCTCGATGATGTCGCTCGTATTCTCGAGCGCGACGATTTGGGTTTTGGTTGGCTTTAAATAAATAAATAAAAACGGACACCTCTCTACTGTGAGATGAGTAAAAAGGAACAGGTCCCCGCCCTTGCGATCTTTGTGCAGGGTTCTTTGTGGGTGTGGTCGGCGACTAGCCGGGGTCGTCCTCCCGATGGGGGACTACGACACTAGCACTAGCCGTCTTCCACATGGTCCCTCGGGTCCCTGCTGCTCCTAATCTCTTCGTCATCCTCCTGCTGATCTCCGCAACATCCTGCTCCCTCCCTCGTCTCGCCCTGCGCGTCTGCTCCGCCTCACCGTCTTCTGCCGTGCGTCGTCTGGCGACGGGTCCTCCATAGTCGGTCGAGGTCACCGCCCTCCTCGTGCCTCTTCCCAACGTTCCCTCGGCGGCCGATGCCGTCTGCTCCGGCTCCCCAGTCCCCGGGTCTGCCCTGCTCTCGTCTGCGCTAGTTTCTGTTTCGTCATCACTGATGTCCGTCCTCTTCTTTCTCCCCTTCTCTCTCTCTCTCTTCTTGTATGCTTTGTACATCGCGTCGATTCCTTTTCGCGTGAGCACCAGCCTGAAGCCCGCCCAGCATCTGAACCGCTCCCTAAGTCGAAGGAGCATCATCAGTCTCACCCACTTCGCTCGCTGCCCACCGTCTCCGCTCCCTCCCGCTTGAGCCGCCGTCGCGGCCCTCGTTCGTCCCACTGGCTGTTGGCCCGTCCCTGCGTTATCCCTCCTCTGCGACTCCCTGTCTCCCTCAAGGCCGGCCGAGCCTCTTTCCACCCAGTGAAGAGCTTCCTCAGCCACTCGATGTGTTCCTCTCTCTTCATTATGCGCGCCGTAGCCTCATCATTGAGCTGGATCCACCTCTGCACCGCTCCCGTCGCCGCCTCGGCCACGACTTGCAAGTTCCTCGTGACCCCGGCGCCAAGGTCCCTCCGGCTCTTCTCCGAGAGGTCATCTACCAGTGCTGGCAACACCCCCCCGACGGCTGGGGCCAGTGCATCGTACCCGTCCTCATCCAGCACCCTATAGCGTGAGCCCTTCAGCGCAGCGACATGCGCTATCCTCAGCGTCTTCAGCGTATCCTTGGAGTCGGGTGCCGCCTGGGCTACTTTGCTGATCGCCGTCCCCGTCTGCGCTCGCGCTACTCTGAGGAACCATCTGGCCTGCTCCCTATTCCCCAGGCAGGCGCCGCTAAGCAAGTGCGCCATCGTCGCTCTAGGCGGGTTCTCATCTTCCTCGGTCCATTGCTGCGCGGCTTTCCGCACGATCGGACACAGCGGGTCTCGCTTTAGTGCCGCCCTCCTCGCCGCGTCCCTCGCGGCCTTACAGACGAGGCAGCCCCTGAGTTCGCTCCTTGTGGCGGCGCCCGGGGTCTCTCTCCCCGCCTCTCCCCGCATAATCCTCTCGTGGTGCGCTCCGTGTGGCACCCCCGCCTGCTGCCGCACACGCGCTCCCATGACGGTCTTTGTCACCACGTTCTGATCATCCACGTCGGCGAAATCTCTCGCGCTCGCCGTGCTGATCCTTGATCCGCTGGCGCTTGTCCCATTTGTGTCTCGTCGTTCCCCTGACCACATCGCTCCACAGCGGCCCCGTCACCCCTGCCGTGTGCGACCCCGCCGTGAGCCCCTCGCCGAGCCGTCCTCGCACCCACTCGTTCGTGTGGCCGCGTGTGGCGTAATAAGTCCTCCGGTCCAGTACCTCCCGCCCCCACTCTCTGTCTGCCATCCTCCGGCGGTCCGTGTATAGACACGGGCGTGTCCTCACTGCTCCACGGATGACGTCGGTGGCATCCTCAATCTCTCTGGCCCCCATGTATGCAGTCGCCGCTGCGTCGGCGTAGGCGTTGCCAGCGCACCCCGCGTGGCTCGGTACCCACAGGAACGTGACAGATTCGAGCTGGGCGCGATATCTGCATATCCCCTCTAACTGAGCCCCTCCCTGAGCCCCGATCCCACTCCCTGAGCCCCTCGAGAGAGCCTTTTCGGTACGCCGCCTCGATCTGCTGTAGCGCGGGCTTGCAGTCGCTCAAGACGAGGCACCTCCTGTCCGCCGCATCTTCCGCCGTTGCCATCTTACGCAGGTAAGCCAGCACCGCGTACATTTCCGCGTCTATCACCTGCCAGTGGTCTGGCAGTCTGCCGCCCCACAGCCCTTGCCCAAACGCGAGCCGCAGCTCATCGTCCCCGCTCTCGAGCTGTTCAGATCCCTCGACGGGTCTCCCGAATCGGGCCGGCCCTTCGTACACCCCATACGACACTACTGGTCGAGGCACGAACCTATCCCCCACCCACTTGTTTGGCATGTCTCTCCCTCCATCCGTCGCAGCGAGGTGCGTGGAGGGCCGCGCTCTGTGCAGCGCGAGGCATATCCTGGCAACCTCCGCGTTGAGCTCACGGCCCTTCTCCGAGCCGAGCGGCTCTCTATCCTTGCCCATCATGACCTGCGTCCCGTTTCTGTCGGACAGCGCCCGTGTCCCGACCTCAAACTCGTCCCACCGCAGTAGGAAGCGCGTAAGCGGAATAGCGGATCCTCCTGGAGTTCGGCGTCTCTTACCCACGCGCCGTGCCTCGGGGGCGAGCCCTCCATCTCTCCCAGCCCCGGCACTACCCCTCCCACCTCATCGCGTGTCGCCAGTTGCGGTCTCGCTACTCCGCTCGGCGGCTCTTGCTCTTTTAGCTCGCACGGCTGCCGGTATCCGAGCGCCTCCTCACTCGCCCTCGCCATCTGTTCCGCCACGTCGCCGGCGTCACTCCCTCTCTTGACCGCTACGACTATACCGTCGTGCTGCAACGACAGCACTGCGTGGCCGTTGCGCGCGGCCCAACGCACCTTCGCCCTTCGGCTGATACTCTCCGCCTCCTGAAAGGCGAACGATTTGACTGTGCGTTCCGGATGCCCCTTCCCTGGCTTGTGGTGCGCAAGCCAATCCGTGACAAAGCGGGTCATTCCCGTCCTCTCGTCCAGGCTATTGCTCAGCCAGAGCGTGCCCTCGGCTTGCGCCTGAAGGTACGCCCCAAAGGTTAAGGCTGGCTTTTCTATGATTCACTTTGTTTATTTATTTACAACGCACTCTCTCACATGACAAGCGATCCCACGACAGCGATTGTGGGGACTACATGATCCGTACGTGAAGGGTGGAGGGGCCTGTCCGCGGACACAACGCACTCTCTCACGTTACAAGGGACATTCTGCGAGATGCAGGGAGGAGCTCAGCCTTGGGAGGAGAGGCGCTTAAAGCGCAGGGGGTGCCACAAAGGTGTGGCGGAGAGGTGCCGCCGCGGTGCCCACCGGTGCCCGCAAGGAGCGCCGGCCTTGGAAGCCCGCCTGCCGGGCCACATGGTGAGGCCGTCGTGGACGCCGCATGGTGAGGCCGTCGAGGTGCGCTGACGCAAAAAAAGAGAAAAAAAGTCGCCCGTCGCTCCCGCCGTTGACGGCTGCCGCCGCCCCCGTTTTCCGAGGACACCGTCGTCACCAAGACTCGTACGTGCCCGTGCCGGCTGCTCGTGCTTGCGCCGCTGTGACATACATGAAGCCGCTCCTGAAGGTCCGCACGGTGACACTCGGCCTCAGCCTTCTCCCTAACCAGCCCGACGCCTGGGATCTCGAGCTCGCGCGGGCCGCCGCCTTTGTGTCTTCCGCGCGGCGGCGGCTCGAGGACGCGGGCTACGAGGTGCAGACGACACGGATCAGCAGCCAGAGCTTTGAGTCGTGGGTCGACGTCTCCGACGCGACCGCGGCGCTCGAGGCCTTCCGCCGGCTCGACGCCACCCTGCTGCGCCTCGGTGTCGGCCTCTTCAACGCAGGCCCAGCCACGTCGCCCGAGGGCCTCGCGCTCGTGCCGCAGATCGTAGCGCTCGGGCCGCGCATCTCAGCCTCCGGCGCGATGCCCGGGCCGCTTGACCGCGCCGCCGCCTCGCGCCTCGCGGACGCGATCCTTACCATCTCGCAGACGACCGCCGGCGGCGAGGGAAACTTTCAGTTTTGCGCCTCCTTCAACGTGCCTCCCAAGGCAACGGAGATGGCGCGGCCCGCTCCCGCCGCTAGGCCGCTCGCGACCCACGTTGGCGTCCTCGCCCCCGCCAGACGCCCTTCTTCCCCGCGTCCTACCACGAGGGCGCCTCCCCCTCCTTCGCCATCGGCTGCGAGACGTCCGAGCTTCTCGCCCACGCGATGCCCCGTGCCGGCGGCGACCTGCCTCGCGCAAAGGCACTCCTGGTCGACACCTTCACCGACCAGCTGCTGCCGCTGCAGGCGATTGCGCGGCAGCTGTCGCAGGCGCACGCACCTGCCGTGCGCGGCCCTACTCTAGCCCAGGCCTGGACCCGGCCTGGCGACCCCGCACAGGCGCACGGCCTACAGTACGACGGGATCGACGCGAGCGTCGCGCCGATGGGCGATGCGAGCCCGCTGACCGGCTCCTTCGAGTCGCTCGGCCTCGGCTCCTTTGGACAGAGCGGCACCCTCGCCGCGGCGGCGCTGGTGACGGGCGCGCTCAAAGAGCTGCCCGTCGACACTTGCGGCTACTGCGGCCTCATGTTGCCGCCCCTCGAGGATGCGGGCTTGGCACGCGGCGCGGCCGACGGCGCCTACCGCATCCACGACTTGCTCGCCTACTCGGCCGTGTGCGGCTTGGGCCTGGACACCGTCCCCGTGCCGGGCGACGTGCCTAAGGCCAAGCTCGCGGCGCTCCTCCTCGACGTCGCGGCTCTCGCGTTCCGGCTAAACAAGCCATTGACGGCTCGCCTCTTCCCCGTCCCCGGGAAGGCCGCCGGGGACGCCGTCGAGTTTGAGAACCCGCACCTTTGCAGCTCCGCGGTCTTTGACGTGCCCTGAGCGCCTTTCCCTGAACGTGAAGTGGCCCCCGTTTCCGAACGTCGATCCCTCTCCGCTCGGCCCGCTCGTCGTCCCGGGCTCCCGGCAGCCGGAGCCGCGCTCAAAGGTCAAAGTTGAGAGAGAGCTGGGGCCGCGGCGAGGCCCTCCGTCCGCTCCTCGCGAGTCGCGTCCCAAAACGTCTTGCTACCAATCTCAGATTCTAAGTACACTCGCCCTATTGGCCACGGGCCCATGGGCGCGGGCGCCCCTGATCGCACCTCGGCGGTCGGGGTGTGCACTTACCGTCGCCGGCGTCGCGCCCGCGCCGTCCGTGAAGCAGTCTCACACACACTACTCTAAGCTACCGCGAGACTGGCAACGAGACGCTCACAACGAACAGATGGCAACGCCTTGGTGTCGGCTCTTGCTGGTAGACCCGTATCGACACCACGACGCTGCTGCTCTCAGCTCTCTGCACACCCACCGAGACGACGACTTCCTAGTCCGACTTGCGGTCGTTGGTTTCCCTCACTTTCCAAGGCATCGGCACATCGTCGCGCACATCGAGCCGCCTGCCGACTTCGCCGTCGAGGCGGAGGCCTTCTTGCTACCTTCCTCGGTCCCAGAGCCGCTCTTCTTTCCGCTTGCCTTCGGAGAAGCGTCTGCAGTAAACCCGAAGCCGTTGTCCTGGCGTTTAAATGGGTTGTCCGACAAGCGAGGCGAGCTGACCGTCTCAACCGCCTCGTGCGTGGGGTAAGCCTCGACGGGCACGCTCATCTTGGGCTTGGGATCCGCGGGCCTTGTGGTCGTGATCACCTTGGGCTTCACCGTGGCCGGCGCTGGTGCCTGCGTTCTGCTCACGCTCACCCCCCCGGGCACACCAACCTGGTTGAACCCGGAGGCGCCGCCATAGACGATCTTCTTCTTGGGCTTCTTCTCCGCGTTGCCTCCCTGCGCACCCTCGGCATTCGCCATCAAATCGAATGGCATCCTCGGACTGGGCGGAGCGCGCGTCTTGAAGTGGGCCGGTGGTGCCGAATTCCGCTCAATCGACGGGCGCCGCCTGATTTGGAAACGGTTGCAAAAAACATTTTTTTCGCAGTGATCGCTGGGCGATCGCCGCCGCACCACTGGCCCGGCCTTTCCTCCCGCGGTCCGGGTGGCCGCGGTATGATCGAGGTCATCTGCAACGACCGGCTGGGAAAGAAGATCCGAGTCAAGTGCAACCCTGATGACACCGTCGGCGACCTCAAGAAGCTCCTCGCCGCGCAGGCAACGCGCCGCCGCCCGCCGCCGTCCGGACTCACCTCGCCCGAGCGCGCGGCGCACCTGCCTGTTGAGCACCCGCCCAGCACGAGCCACCCCGGCCCCGCAGACGGGCACGCGGCCAGAGAAGCTGCGCATCCAAAAGTGGTACACGGTGTACAAGGACCACATCAGCTTGGACGATTACGAGATCCACGACGGCATGGGCCTCGAGCTTTACTACAACTAGGTGCTGGCAGGTTCCGAATTCGAGGTGGGCCTTCCTCTGTCGGCGCCGCCCGCCACAGATTCGAGCAGCGGGGCCTTCCTCTGTCGTGCGCCGCGCCGCGGCGTCCCAGAGAGCAGCGGCCGCGATGCTTCTCCGCTCGCCTCGGGCGTGCGGTCGCCTCGGGCGTGCGGGATCCGCGGTCGCGACGCGCATTTTGCTTCACCTTTATTGCTAGCTCGCGAGGATCTTTGGTTGTTACGGGTACGTTTTAAATAAGGCTTGGCCCCTCAAGCGTCTCCCGCCCCCCCCCGCGCGCCGCGCGGCGGCCTTCGGCCCTTCGCGCCTTCGCGCCCGGGCCCGCTGAGCCCCCTTGGCTGTCAGGCTGTCAGGTGCTGTCAGGTGATCTGTCGGGCTGTCGGGCAGCTGTCAGACACTGTCAGGTGCCTCTGTCAGACCAGCTGTCAGGTGCTGTCAGTGCTGTCAGGTGCTGTCGGGTGCGTGTCTGACAGGGGGCAGGGGCGGCTCAGGATCACAGACACCCCTCTCAGGATCACAGCACCGGCGGGGGCGCGCCTCAGGATCAAGCACCCACGGCAGGGTCTGTGAGGATCAGCAGACCTGGAGGGGGCGCGCTGAGGATCATATGCCCGAGAGGGGTGCTGTCAAGATCACAGGGCTGCAAAGGGTGGCACTCTCGAGATCAGAGCGCCAAAATAGGTGCAATACAGATCTCAGCGGCCGGAAGTGGGCGCAATACAGATCACGAGCGCCGGAACGGGTGCAATATAGATCATGAGGGTTTTGTGGTCTGTGCGCGGACGGCCCGGGGAGCCTGCGGCGCGTATTTTAACCTTCCCCGACAGAGTCTCTCGATACGGCGCGCGGCGGCGCCGCACCCAGCAAGCTGGGACCGCTCCTTACGGACTCGTCGCTGCGCTCCTCAAGGCAAACACGGAGCGCGCTGCGCGTGCGGTCTACGCCGAATACTGCGGCCGCCGTCACGACTGCCATCCTCGGCGGCGCCGAGCGCGCGAGCGGCGCCGATGGCCAGCCCGGCGCCACCTCCCAGCGACAAGCGCATGAGCGACAGGACGCGCATGAGCGACAGGACGCGCATGAGCGACCGGTATAGCGCACGTGATTGGGCGCGCGACGGTTTCATGATGTAAATTGCACCAATTTCGGCGCTCGTGTTCTGTATTGCGCCCACTTCCGGCCGCTGATCTGTATTGCACCTATTTTGGCGCTCTGATCTCGAGTGCCACCCTTTGCAGCCCTGTGATCTTGACAGCACCCCTCTCGGGCCTATGATCCTCAGCGCGCCCCCTCAAGGTCTGCTGATCCCCACAGACCCTGCCGTGGGTGCTTGATCCTGAGGCGCGCCCCTGCCGGTGCTGTGATCGATCCTGAGAGGGGTGTCTGTGATCCTGAGAGAGGCTTATCTGGTCTGACAGGCGAGGTGATCTGAGAGCTGTCGGGTGCTTTCGGAGCTGTCGGGTGTTGCTGTCAGACGCTGTCGGAGCTGTCAGAGCTGTTAGGCTGCTGCTGCTGTCAGACGTAGGGCCGGTGCTGACAGAGCACGTATCTGACAGCCTGACAGCAGAGCCTGACATCAGAGGTGACCCGTCGCTGTCAGGCCCTCTAACGTGACAGCCTGACAGCTGCCCGACAGCCCGACAGCACACAGTGGCCTGACAGCAGCGCTGACAGCCAGACAGCCTGACCAGCCCGACAGCAGCACAGACCGAGGCTGTCAGAGAAAGTGCTGTCAACGCGCTGTCAGGCTGTCGGGCACTGTCAGGCGCTGTCTGGGGTTTGCTGTCAGGCTGTCGGACCAGGGCTCAGCGGCCCGCGCCCGCTGGGGCGGCCGCTCCGCCTATCGTCGGCTATCGCGCACGGCGGCGCGCGCACGCTCCTCCCACTCGCGCACACCATGCCTTCTTTCTCTTTTTCTTCATCCGCTCTTACGGTCAGGAATTCGGTCAGGGTTCCAACTTTTTCCGGGGTATGGTTGGTAGCAAGCATCGGCGGCCCAAAGGGGTGAGGGTATGGTCCTGACCGCCCAAGACTAGCCCTACCATACCCCCAAGCAGGTCTGCCAGCTGGCGGGGGGGTATGGTCTTGAGCTGGGTTGGCCGAAAAACCATAACATTGAATTGATAGGAGTGAGCGCGAGTACCGTGCCCCGCAAAAAGTTGGAACCCAGGGAGGAGCTTATGAGCGTCGAGTTGGAGCCTCTACACGCAGCCGCCACAGTTTCTCTGCGCCTCCGGGCGGTGCACCAACGATGGTTCGGTGCTCAGTGCTTTTCGAGCTCATCGTCTGGACGACCCTGACGGCGAGCACGATTGGGCCCGGCACCGTGGCGGTGTGTGCAAAGGCCGGCGCAGACGCGCAGGAGGCGCTGCTTTGGTGCGTCGTTGTGGCTGCCGTCGTCGCGTGGGTGCTGCAGGAGGCGTCGGGGCGGCTTACAAACGTGTCGAACCGCACGCTCGGGGACTGCGCCTACTTCAAGATGCCAGAGGGCTCGCGGCTTGCGTTCCTGCGCAAGGTGCTCGCGTGCTATGTGGTGTTTGGCGGCTGGGCGTACGAGGCGAACAACTTCGCCGGCACGATGGCGGCGGTGCGGCTGGTTGTGACGGACGAGGCGGCGCTGTACACCATCAACGTGCTGCTCGGCCCCCTGTGCGCTGGAATGGTCGTCGCCGGCTCAACGCAGCGCCTGTCGCTCCTCTTCTCGGCGGTGGTTGCAGCGATGATAGTCTGCTTCGCCGCCGTGATTGGTGGGAGTGGCGTGCCCAATTCGCTCGTCGGCGGCCTCGTGCCGACCATCCCGGCCGGATCGTACGAGGTCGCCCTCGGCCTGGTTGGCACCACGACCGTGCCGCACAACCTGCTCCTCTCGTCGGCCCTCGCGCGCGGCGCGTCGGCGCGCTCGGTGCAGCGGGGCGTGCTGCTCTCGGCGAGCCTGTCGGGCCTGATCTCGCTGCTCATCCTCATCGTCGGGATGCACGTGCACAAGGACGCGGCCGAGTTCGAGCTCCGCGACGTCGCGGACGTCCTCCGGTCTGCGATGGGGCGGGTCGGCGTCTGGGGCTTCGCGCTCGGCTTGTTTGGCGCTGGCGTCTCGTCGGCGATGACGGTGCCGCTGGCGTGCGCGATGGCGGTGGAGGACATGTTTGGGCTGCGTGCCCTGAGCGCCCTCGCCACTCAGGAGGGGACGGAGGCGGGCCGAGGCCCGTCAATCGGGAGCAGCCTGGCGGCTCCAGCCGCCACGGCGAGCCCCGACGCCGCGGCAGGCTTTGGCTCGCCGCCGCAGCCGAGGAGCGCGCGCAAGTGGGTGGGCGCGACGGCGTCGGACCGCTGGCAGCACGGCGGCCGCGGCGCCATGATGAGCGCAGTGGTCCTGCTGGCGCTGATCCCCACCCTCGCCCGGCTGCCCACAATCGGCATCATCATGTTTGCGCAAGTCGTCAACGGGCTCTTGCTGCCGTGCGTCGCCGCGCTGCTCTTCGCGTGCGTCAACGACGCGCGGCTGATGAGCGCCGCGCCGCAGTCCACGTGGGGCAACGCGCGCGCCCTCCCATGCGTGGGGATCTGCTGCTTTCTGGCCTTTACCGTCCTGTCCAAGCAGACGGTCTGCCGTCTCGTGCCCGGCTGGGGAGGGAGGCAGGCGATGGCCATCGCGCTCCCGTGCACGCTGGGCGTCGTGACTGGTCTCTGCTTACTCGTCCGATCCAGCCGTAAAATGACGGCCAGCGCGAGGGTCGCGGCGGACGCGGCGGCCAGACGCGGCGCAGAGCCGTCGGCAGAGCTCACGATTGCGCGTCCTCGGGCCGCAAACGCCGACCTGAGCGTGTGATGCCCCTCGCGGCACTCGGAGGGCTACCCATCTCTACTCTACGGCCATGGAGGTCTTGCGGCGCTATTCCGGTTGTGAATGTGTGTGACTCTCTCTGTGTGTGTGTGTGTGTGTGTGTGTGTGTGTGTGTGTGTGTGTGTGTGTGTGTGTGCGCGTGTGCGTGTGCGTGTGTGTGTGTGTGTGTGTGTGTGTGTGTGTGTGTGTGTGTGTGTGTGTGTGTGTGTGTGCTACTCTCGAAGCCGCGCGCGTGGTACTGTTAGCGCTCAAGTCGTAGGTTAGGTGCGGGGGCGTGTTTGTTATCGAAATTAGTTAAGGCGTACTCTAACGATTGTGGTCCGAATTTGCAGGCATGATGGCCATGGCCGCCGCCGCCGCCACTGCCGCCGCCGCGGCTTCAGGCCGAGTAGCTCTAGTAGACCCCGTGCTAGCGGTACGTGGAGCCGACTTGCTCGCACGACCGGGCTGCACGGGGGCGGACTGGACTCGTACGGATGTTGACGCCAAAAGCCCAGGCTGTCCCGACCCGTGGACTGGCCTGCACCCCAGGCGATACCGACCATGGAGGTGGAAGACGACGACGACCTGTACCCAACGGTGTGCGCCAATGCAAGAGATTGGGCCGAGCGAAGCATCAGCCCACGCTCAGCCCACGCTCAGCCCACGCTCAGCCCACGCTCAGCCCACGCTCAGCCCACGCTCAGCCCACGCTCTGCCCCCCCTCCCCCCACATTCGAACTGGCAGCCACTGGCACATGGGAGGTGCACCACGCCACTACGGTCGCGAGAGAGCGAGAGAAATGCGCGCTCACAGAGGAGTGGTGGTATATACACGGGTGCATTCATGCACTGTCTGTTGCAGGTGGAGGGTGAGGAATTGCTGACCGACCCAGATCTTAAGCACCTGGGGGTGCCGGCAGACTACGTGTGGCACATGTCAGTACAGGAGTGGAACGCGCTCATGCGTGCGCTGCACGGCAACGGGCGGGGGGCGGGCAGGGGAGTGGCGAAAGCGAGGGGAGGGAGGGGTGAGCAGAGGGAGCGGCGCGCGCACTGCCTCACCCTCAACGTGTGTGGGCTACACCTGGAGAGGCGGGATGGGACGATGGAGACGATTGAGGAGCTGCGAGGGGGGGCAGGGGGGGCAAGGCGGGTGAGGGATACAGGGAATGACACGACAGAGAAGCTAGAAGACGTGATCGGGATCCTCAAGCAGGGGTGCGTGACCATCGCCACCCTCGCAGACACCAAACAGACTAGGCGAGAGCTGGAAGAGACCGTGGCGCTGCTTCAGACTAGAGGGCTAGACGGGTGCGGCACGCCAGGGTGGTGCGATCACATCTCGGGGGAGATGCACACAGGGGTAATGATTGTGTGGGACCCAACCCACATTCAGGTGGAGCGCAGGGACGCTGAGGGGAGAGCGGTGGCGACGGAAATCGAGGAGGGGAGGATAGTGAGCGTGGAGGTAGAGGAAGTGGCCAGCTGCAGGAAGTGGACGCAGTTCGGGGTCTACATGCCGGTGAGACAGAGGACGGCGGCGGCGGTGAGACCGACGTGGGAGAAGCTAACGGAGGCGCTAGATGCCACGAGAGGGGAATACATGATCGGGGGGGATTTCAATGCAGAGACGGGGGATGCGCTGAAGGGGAGGGGCGCACAGAGGGCAACCCTGGCAGACAGGCTGTTCCAGCAGATGCTGGATGATGGAGGCCGAGAGCTGCTGACCATGGCGGACGAAGCCACCTACCGAGCAGGGACGCAGATAGATAATTGGGTGGTCACCCCCGGGCTTGCGTCATGCATGGGGCGCACGAGCACAATGCCGGGGGTGTGTGGGGACGACCACAGGGCGGTGGCGGTGGAATTCTTTGGAGGAGTGGGTGGCGTGGGAGGGCCTCGCGAGTTTCGGGAGCGGGGGGTGAGCACATGCATGGATCGGGAGGCGGAGGAGAAATTCACAAAGACAGTGCAGGAGGTGTTCGATGACGAGGTGGAGGCCGATACGGAGAAGCAGCTGAGCGTCTCCGAACGGCTGGAGAGGCTGTCGAGGGTGCTCACACGACACGCTAGGGCGGTGGTCGCGGCCGGGAGGGCAAAAGATGACGACGAGCCGGACAGGGAGGAGCGGCCCACGGGAGGCGGGGAGGCGGCCGAGGGGGCGGGCGGCCGAGGGCCGCCACCTAAGTCCAAGAGAGAGCGGCTGAGATGGAAAGTGGCGAAGTGGTACAGGATACGGCACGAGGTCAAGAAATGGAGCGGCACGATGAGCGATGGATACAGGAGGGAATGGGAGGGAGGGGGCTTTTGGAGGGAACCAAACCTGGCACACCTATGGGAGGCCCTCGAGGCTCAGCCACAGCTGGCGAATAGAGAGAGGCGCGCGAGAGCATTGGAGGTCTGTGAGCGCGAACGACGCGACGCTGAGCAGGAGTTCCTCCTGTGCCCGCGGACTGGGGGGGAGAAACTCACAGAGGTGATGCAGGAGGTTGCGACAGAGAACAGCGGCAACAATGCTAGGAGAGTCTTCGAGATTCTGAATAAGGAGATGGGCAGAAGAGCGGGCGGGGGGGAGCTGGTTGCGATGTATGAGGGAGGGGAGTGGGTAACCTGCCAGAGGACGGGAGAGCGGGTCTGGCAAAGGCACGTGGTACGAGGGGACGAAGTCCGCGACGCCGCGGCGAGGAGGGGGAAGGAGATCAACGCACGAAGAGAGGCGGACATGGCGGCGGTTGAGGCGCTCCTAGCAATGACAAAACCAGCCGGGGCAGAGGACCAGCCCTTGGGGGTGGAGGGGACGGGGCGGCTCGTGGACGATGTGCTAAAGTGGTCGGCGTGCGAGGCGGCGATCAGGAAATTCAAGAAGGGAAAGGCGATAGGCAGCGACAAACTAGATGGGTACCTGATCCGAATTGCACCAAGGGGAGTGCAACGGGAGTACTGGAGGTTGCTGCAGGAGATTGTGCGGGAGGAGCAGTATCCAAAGGTGTGGAACGATTGGATTGCTATGATGGCAATGAAGCCGGGGGAGGATCCGAAGGAGCTCGAGAGGAGGCGGGACCTTTGGGTACAACCGCAATCAATGAAGGGGCTGATGCGCATGCTACTGCCTGAATACGACCGAGCGGCGGCACACACGGTGCCGGGCTCGCAGAGCGGCTTCACCAAGGGGATGAATGCGCCTGCGCAGACGCTCACGGCAAGGTTGCATGCGGAGGAGTGCATGATAGAAAGGAAGATGTGTGTGAGGGGCTATATTGACCTAGGCACGTATTTCATGAGTGTTGTGAATGAGGTGCAATGGAAAGTGGAGGAGTGGGCCGGTGTGCCAGCAGACGTCACGCGGGTGCTAAAGGCGCTGAGGGAAGGGCTCGGCGAGCTTCCTGGGCTAACAGGAGGTGATGGAGGCGACGCCGGTGGAGGAGAATGCGGCAGCGGGCTCGGCGGAGGAGTTGACGGCGAGGCAGACGGCGGGCTTGTTGGTGGCGGCGGCATCAAGTCCACCCAGTGCCATAGGACATCGCTCACACCGCACCAGAGCATTTTGTCATGCCTTCGCGTCTCGCACACCGCGGCGTTCGGGGCCTGATTCCCCTTGCCCCACGCGTCCTGCTGCCAATACGGCAATGGGGCCTGCCCATGCCCCTCTCCGAGCCTGGTGTGGCATCTGCTGCCCTCCAAGCAGGGACAGCCGGTTGGGAGCCAGTACCAACACGTCGCTGGAGGCTGGGTGGGCACGGGTTTCACCAGCGGGGGCGGCGGAGGGAGCAAGGGCGGCGGGGGCGAAGATGCTGTGAAGGAGCCAGCACAGCCATCCTGGGTTCCGGCTCCTACCCAGATAGGGGGTCTGTTCTCCACGGTTAGACCCTATGCAATAGGTAGGTAGGTCCGGTTTTGACCGCCCCAGAGGGCCCCGCAATAGGTAGGTAGGTGGTGGTGGTGGTGGTGGTGGTGGTGGGGGGGGGGAAGTAAAAAAAACGCTTCGCTCGCGGGAGGGTCCGTGCCCTCGACTCTGTCGAGGGAAGAGAGTGCCGTTTTGGAGCCGTCCAACGCCTCGAGAGCCCAGTAGGCCATGCTCTGGCGGGCTCGCGAGCGGCGCGCACCGCGGTACAAGCCGGCGCGCGGCGGGCGCTGGGAGCCTATTCACAGAGGCTAACGCGTATTTTTTCGCTTCGCTGCGCGGCCTGGGAATAGGTAGGTAGGTGGGGCACGGAGCCTGGCGATTGGCGCCCGCAATAGGTAGGTAGGTAGGGCGTTTTGGTGCGAGTCATGTTACAGACCCCCTATCTGGGTAGGAGCCGGAACCTGGATGTGCACCCTAGGGAGTCTGCCTCTTCCTATCTCTCTTCGCAGTCTCTCGCCGATTCTCGCTGCAACCTTCATGCCACCTCGCGGTCGTCCCACCCTCGTCGTTCTCTCCCTTGTCACTTCCTCCTCTGACGCGTTGTTCTCTTCTGCTGTGAACCAGCGCACAGCGCCATAGTATTTTCTTCTCATAACAAGGCTGTGAAGGAGCCAGCACAGCCTTCTGGATGTACACGAGGTTAGCCTGTGCGGGGAGGGAGCGAGTTTTCCATGCTGACCACGCGCGCCAGAACTGTTCATGGATCGCAGGCTGTTGCGCTCTTGCTATCCGCATCACTGTGGGCATTACTGCTCGCGAGCACGATCTGTTATCGAAACAGGCTCTCGCCAGAGGTGCCCGAAAACGCTTGGCTATGGTCGACGGCGTCTCCGCCGCGTCCACTGCAGCCTCCTCGCCCGCCACCGCACTCGCCACCGTCGCCGCCTTCGCAACCGCCGTGCGATGTACCCATTAGCGGGCCGTTTGGCGTCGGCCCATTCCGCCTGCTCTGCTTGCGGCGCACATCACGCCACGCGCCTCGGCCAGCTGGCGACGAGGAGCAAGCAGTCTCGCCGTCGAGGAGCGGCGCCGACCGTGCCCATGTCCACCGCGCTCGCCTCTCCCGAAGGGTGGCGCTTGCCTGCGGAGCGCATCGGCTACCCGCCGGACTGTGACCAGAATTGGCTGCTGACCAGCACGGTGGCTCCCGTTGTCAACGACCTCATGGCCAGCGCCGTGAGCAGCATTCTGCCGGCAGACGGCAGCGGGAGGCCTCTGCCCGCGCGGCTCTTCACAAACGGCTGGCTGCGCGCAGAGACCAATCTCGGAGGCCCCGTAGTCGACTTTTCAAACCTTGGTATCACGAGCCTCGTCCCCGGCGAGGTGACGCATGCTCTTTGCCGGAACGACAGGGAGTGGTACGAGAGGCAGCCCCTTACCACCAAGGTGGCCAACGTGCGCCTGCCCGATCACCTCTACTTTATCGTCGCGGGGATCGAGGCGCAGGTCTCCTTCAACTTTACCGTCAGTCAGAGGCTGCCGCTGGGCGGGCCGCTCCACATCGCCAACGGAGCCGGCAACGCCACTCTGCGTGGCTTCCTCGGGATGGATGTGGACGGCGGCGCCATCGGCCGGTGCGAGGGCAGCCTGGGCGTGCAGCCGTGGAGCATCTCGCAGCTCCACGTCTTTGGCGTCGGCTTCTCCGATGCGTTTGTCAGGGCCGCAGTCGGCGCCGTCCTGCCGTTGCTCGTGGGCGAGATCCCGGAGCTGCTCTGCCGCGGCGAGGCGTCGACTGTCAGCGCGCGCATCGTCGACGAGACGGGACGGGCGCGCGCCTTCGGCGGTCTGCCAGAGCTCGCCAACGCAAAGCTGACGCCCGTCCTCGCGCCGCTCCGCGCGCTGGACCTCGTGGTCGGGCCGGATCACCTGAAACGCGCGCGCCGCGACAGGGAGCGGCTCGCCCAAGTCGGGGTAGAGACTACGCTGGGACAAGGGCGCTTTTCAGGGATGGCTTGAGAGGCATCCGCGTACGATGTATAGCTATTTATTGTTAAGCTGATTGTAAACCCTCGAACGTCGCAATTTTCTGTGGGACGGTCGTCGCCGGTCCTGAGGGAGGGTGTAGAGGATGTAGAGTGTAGAGCGCTGTAGAGCTGTAGAGATGTAGAGCGCTCTGGAGCGCTGTAGAGCTGTAGAGCTCTACATCGGGCACGGGACGAACTGCGTGCGTTGTAGAGCGATGTAGAGCGCGATTTTGTTGTAGAGTTTGTTGTAGAGGCTCTACAGCCAACCCGCCGGGAAGGCAGTGACTCAAAGAGGTCGAGTCGCACTAATGGGGTGTCTCCGAGCTTACTGGAGCTCTGATGGACGGCCCTGACTATCCCTGACACACAGAGAGTCACTCTGATGGCACACAACACCCCATAACTGCGTCATCACCAGCCTGCCTTGCGTCGCCGGTGCCGCATTCGTCGCAGTGCTTCTTTAGCAGGCGGTGGACTGTCGGCGGCGAGGACGGTCGCATTTGCGCAAGGCGAGGCGAGCATTCAGACGCGTTGCATGCGCCATGACTCGCGCCAGCGCGTGCGGGAGCTCCTGGCTGAGCGTTGAGTCCAGGCGAGTTGCGCTGGCCACTATCGCTACGCCGAGCTGAGCTGACGCGCCGAGGCGCCGGCCAGTCGCAGCCGTGAGGCATGCCACAGCAGCAGAGGCACCTCCCACCCATTGGGCGGGCAGACAGAAGGCCAGGGCAGCACTGGCGAGTGCAACGCGCCTCATGTCGGAGAGCGACCGTGCCTCGTTCGCCGCTTTTGATGTAGAGTTTGTTGTAGAGATTTCACGTTGTAGAGCGCCTCTACATCGCTCTACAACGCACGCAGTTCGTCCCGCGGCGGATGTAGAGCTCTACAGCTCTACAGCGCTCTACAGTATGATATACAGCGCTCCAGAGCGCTCTACATCTCTACAGCTCTACAGCGCTCTACACTCTACATCCTCTACACCCTCCCTCAGCGCCGGTCTCTGGGGGAGGGAGAGGGGGCTCAACCAAGTGCCGTGTTCACAGTCCGGGCACTGAGAAAGGTATTTTCTTCTCAATAACTTGTTTGCTCATAACGCCGCTTGTAACCACGACCGATGCGAGGACGCAAGTCCACCGACCTCGGCCATTCCAACGGCCAGGCCGCTCGCTTAAGGCTGATTGGCTAGACGAGCGGCCTACCTCCAACGGGGAAGTCTGACGAACGGGGGAGCTCTGATCGCCGTACTCACCGGGACGCTGGTGAGGTGACGGTGGGAGGGCGCCCCCCAGACAGCCCCTCCCGACGGGGACGCCACCACCCTCGCCCAGGGATCTACAATGCTTTCTTAAGGTCCGACAGGTTCGGCACCGGGCACCGCCTCGGTATATAAAATGCGCCTGCGGGCGGACCCTTACAGATCACAGATCACAGAAATAACAAGGCTGTGAGTGAGAACACGCTCACCGACCAAAACTCGCGCGTCCATGTCAAGAAAGCGCGCCGAACTCTGCCTTTCTCTCCATGTCAGTGGAGGGGCAGTCGTATGCCGCCATCATCTTTGCCCTTGCTGAGAAGCGCCGAGTGGACGGAGGGTACTACCCAGCGAGCGCAAGGCGGGTGCGGCAGGCTGCATGCGCCGCTGCAGTGCTTGGCAAAGCGCTCGAGCGGCTTGATCCGCGGAGGCCCCGAACGGCAATCGTCCACAACCTGGGGAGAGAAGAGCTCGGCATTCTCACACATGGCAAGCTGTGGCGGCTGCACCGGTGGAGGACGCCTCTAGACGGGCTCAACAACAAGAACCCGCTCTGGTCTCTCCCGTTTGCGCGGGTCATGTACTTTGACACCGACCACCTGCCGCTCCTCACCGGCAGCGCTGAGCGGATCGAGCTGCGGCGGGCGTCGTTCGAGCGGGCGTGGAGCGAGCCAGGCGAGCTTCGGGCGTTGGGCGAAGTCAACGCAAAGACGGGCCTACTCTGCTTCAACGGAGGGCTCCTACTGCTGAGGCCGGCGGCCGCCTCGGCGGCTCGGCTAGAGGCGGCCTCAAACATGTCGGCACGGCTCGTCGGCACGCCGCCCTCACAGTGGGGGCGCAGGGTGGCCGCGTTCAACCAAGGGGCAGCCGTGCCCTTTGAGGGCAACCTCTCGCGCTGCTCGCACCCCGGAGGCGACCAGGTGCCGCTCAATGCCGCCTTCCAGCACAACTGGGCGCCGCTCAACCTCACCTCGATTGACCCCTACAGCTGTGGGTGGGCGGTGGCAGGTGGTGGCGGCGACAGTGGCGACCAGCCCGCCCGCTTCAGCCAGCTCGACGCCTACCACTCGTTCCTCAACACGCTGCCGCTGCAGCTCGGCGCCTCGTGCAACGAGAGCGCCGCCGCCGCCGGTAGGTGCCCGCTCCCGCGCTCAGTCATGGTTGGGTCTCGGCGTTGGGCCCTGGCCGGCCGTCACGCGTGCCAGGCGTCGCACAGCCGATTTGCAAAGTACTGGTGGGAGCTGTTCCGGTCCTTGCCGAGCCGGACTCGGGTGGTGTGCTCGAGATGGGGCGGGTGAGAGGAGAAGGAAGAAGATGATGGGCACTTGCAATACGGCTCTAGATGGGGGAAAGAATCTACACACATCGAACCCTCTGGCAGGGGCAGTAAGTAAGTAAGTAAGGTGGCGAAGAACACACAGAGTCAGACCAACGACACGTTATCATCGTATGGGTGAACACGCCAGAACGCAAAGGAGAAGGGGGGTAACTCACCAAAAAGGGATTTGACATAACTCTCACGGGCTGAGTGCAAAAAAGAAAATGACGCGAAAAAAGAAAATCGAACCCATCGGCTGGAATACTTGCTGCACAGGTCGAAGCTGGAGGCAGGTCGCTAGACTGAGATGAGACCGCCAGTGGAGTTGGGAGTCCACCGTGCACCGCGCTGCGAGCCTGTCGTGTCCCTTGTCAGGAGCAGGAGAGCCCCACCTGTGCCCCTGATCGTCCTTCCAAAATCCTGCTCGTGCAGGTGTGGACCCTGTCCTCCTCCCCCATCCCCCGTTTGGAGGCCGCACTTGGAGCACTTGGAGTGCAGTCATCAACCTCACATCCAGGGCCGCGCTCTCTTTCTTTCTTTCGTGAGAGAGGCTTGTATTTTGTCTTTCTTTCTGGAGCCGGTGTGTGTGCCACAGTGCCAGTCCGCGCCAGTCCGCGCCCTTGTCGTGCCAGTGTGCTGTGTGAGACAGGCTTGATTCTCTCTGATGCCCAACATTCTTTCTTTCTGCGCGCCAGTCCCGTGCCTAGTGTCGTGCGAGGGAGTTTGGTTATAAAATTCTTTCTTTCGACGGTGAACGAGCTAGCGAGTAGCGACTAGCGTGCGGGGAGAGCGGCATTGTGCATGGTGCGGAGTGCATTGCCGTTCTTAGCGGAGTCGCTTAGGCGGCTCCGGTGGTGTGCCTGTGATTGTGCTAGCACGCGCCAGTTCGCACTTGTGTCGAGCCTGTCTGCTGTGAGAGAAATTTCCGACCAAAATCTTTGTTTCTGGGGCGGCATGGAGGGGGAGAGGAAGAGCAAGGGCGAGAGAGGGCAAGGGACTGGGCGCTGGCATACCAGGGGGGGCAGGGTAGTGGGCGGCGATCGCCGCATACCGTCCTATGGCGGCGAGTATCGCTACGCCAGGGAAGACAAGGGCGTCGAAGTGCAGCTGCTGCTGTTCGAATCGTTCGGCGGGTTCGGAAAGGGGGTCCGTGAGATCCTCCGGAAGGCGGCGGACGTGCTACAGAACAAGCTGACGCGGGCCCAGTACCTCGATGAGGTGACTTGGACCACCATGAGCTGGCTGGGGCTGCAGAAGCAGCGCATCTCAGTCGTTCTTCACACACGGCCATCGCAGAGCAGGTCGTGAATGAGCTTGCCTGTGGCGGGGGTGGGCGGGTGCACGGAGCTAAGTGCCTCGCCGCCCTCGCAGGAGTCGCTTAGGCGGCTCCCGTGGTGTACCTGTGTTAGTGCCAGTGCGCGCCAGTCCCGTGCCCAGTGTTGTGCGAGCGAGCGTGCCAAAATTCTTTGTTTCTGGTGGCGGGCCCAGGGTTGTCGGATGCGGCTGCCATGGCCACGCGTGCCTTGGCCTGGGATTGGACGCGCAAATACAACGCCCGATCAGCCCGCCGCGCCAGTCCGTTCAGGGGCATTCGCTGAGCGGCTCGACAATGCACTCTCCGAGCACGAGTCTCTCGAGAGAACGTTGATTGACGCTCGGGTCGCTGTTGACTCCGCGCACAGCCGTTTGCAACGCCTGCGGATGAACCACACTGCGGGAGAATTCGCCAACGCTGCCTTCGCAGTGGCCGCTCTCGCTCCCACCGCGCTCGCCACTGCCGCCCTCGCCACTGCCACGCTCTCGGCCACGGCAATTAGACCCGCCGCCCTCTCGCCTCCACCTTCTTCTCCTCTTTCGCCACCGCCGGCGCAGCCGCCGCCGCCACCGCCGCAGCCGCCGCAACCGCCTCAGCCGCCACCGCCGCCACTGCAGCCGCCACCGTCGCCACTGCAGCCGCCACCGCCGCTGCAGTTGCAGCCACCGTCCTCACCCACATTGCCAAGCCCGCCTCAGCCGCTGCCACCGCCGCTGCCAAGTCCCGCCCCTGCCGCCATCACCAATCTGCCCACTCTCCCGCCCCCTTCCCTGCCGCCACCGCCTGCGCCGCCACCGCCTCCGCCGCCTCCGCCACCGCCGCAACTGAACTTCCCGCCTCCCTTGCCGCTCCCCGTGCCGCTCGTGCCGATGCCAGCGCCCGCGCCGCTGCCGCCGCCGCCGTTTCTCGCAGGTGTCCCTCCGCGGGAGCTGGCAGGCAGAGAGCCGCTCCAGCCAGTCGCGCGGGCGCCAGCCAACCGAGCGGCTTGGGGCGGGGGGTTTGCAGGCGGTCTCACTCAAGCGGAGGACGGCGGTCTCGCAGAGGGCTTCAGCCTCTCGACGCCGGAGCAGCAGCAGCAGCAGCAGCAGCGGCAGCAGCAGCAGCAGCAGCAGTGGGAGATGGAGCAGCGGCAGCGGCAGCAGCAGTGGGAGGTGGAGCAGCGGCGGCAGCAGCAGCAGCTGGAAGAGGTGGTAGAGGAGGAGCTGCTCGAGGAGGTGAGCGACGCGTGCCTCTCGTCGCTCATCCACCGCTCCTCCAGCCCGGCGATCGTCCTCTTCTCGGACGGCGCGCGGCGTGTCTGTGTGGCCGCGAGAGCGATCTGGCCGCCCCTTGCACTGAGGCGAGCGCAGCGTGTGTCGGTAGGCTCTCGCGGCAGCGCTCTTCTCGAGGGCATGTTCATCGAGTCGTCGCGCCGCAGCGGCGGGCTGAGAGTTGTCAAGGCGCCCCCACGCCCCATGCCCCGCGAGCGTTTGCCTCCGAAGCCCCGATCTCGTCCAGCGTCCCTCCGACACAGGCGCCCATCTCAAGTTGCGGCCGCCTCTGGCAGTGGACTCGCTCTCAGGGCCAGCCGCTGCAGTCGTTGCCCGTGTGCGTCCTCTTCGTGCGTGGGTCGCCCGTCGCGACGCTGGCTGCTGGCGATTTTACGCCGGAGCTGCTCATGAAGTGGTCGTACTTGGCCGGCTGAAGCCCGTGTGTGCGAATCAGCGAGGGTCGGCGCTGCGCTGCTCGACACCGCCGCAGTCGGCGGGGCAGCGACGCTCGACACCCATTTTCTTTGCACACATGCATGTTGATTTGTCCACTGCCTTCGGACGTGTACCTGAAGCAGTGAGAGTGTGAGCAATCAACCTCTCCTCTCTCTTCTCTACTTCCACACCTAGATCCTAGTACGCCCTGCGGACTACCTGTGTTATATCGGTGTTGGCGGCACTGTACTTTACTGTAGACACTCGTGTACGGAGTCTTCCCATCGGCGTATGACCGCATCCACAGCTTCGGCGATCGGCCACTCGTCATGTACGGCGCGCTGCTCCTTGCTGCATGCAATCTTCATCTTCTCCACTCCTCTTGCACATTATGCTGCTACAGAACACGCTCTTGTCGTTGGTTTTAGGTATGTTGTTAGCGGATCGCGACTTGTCGTCGGGTCCCTTCTCTCTCAATCGAGAAGGAATGAGGTCAGGTAGAGTGCTAGCGAATCTCACCCGTACTGTCTCTCGACGTCACGTCTACGACTATTCCCTCGGGCGACCTGAGGCCCACCGTCGCTCCAGCCACGAGAGCATCTCGCCCGCCTCCTCGCTTGCCATCTCGAGGGAGTAGCTGCGCATCCGGTCGTTGACGACGACACCAATTTTGGCGAGCTCGTCTCGAAGCTGATCCGCAAACCCGTAGTCGCGGCTTCGTTGTGCAACTCGCCGCGTCTCCAGCAGGCCGTCAAGTGCGCGTTGCGCCGCAGCGTCTAGCTCCGTCTCGTCGATGCTCTCGGCCTCCTCGCGTGTGTAGCCGTGCCTGCTAGTCGTTTCTTCCTTGGCTGGAGGCGCGCTCAGCCGCACGGGTGGCATCGGCGTGTGGATAGACCACCCGGGTCTTCCATCGGCACGCATGCTGCCGCCGCCGACAGTGCCGACAGTGAAGGTGCGAGCCGAGTCGTCGATGCTCACCCCCAGCGCGCCCAATTCGTCTCTGAGGCGGTCGGCGTCGACAAAGGCGCGTCGCTGCCGCGCTCCGACCTGCGACACGACAGCCTCTTTGGGAACACGAAAGCCTCTTTGGATTGGGCGCATGGTGGCGAGAAAAGGAGTTGGTGCGAAACTACTAGCTTTGGTGATCGCACCCGCTCCAATAGAAGCCGGTCAATTGTCAGCTGCTCTTCCTCCGAGAAACTCACGGCTCCGGCGTCCCCTCGTACGTAGCCGTGGCTGCTAGACGACGGCGTCTCGCCGCCATCCCCAGCGCTTTTGCGCGGCTCGACAAAGTACGTTTCCGTTCGGTCTTGAACCCGCACTCCAAAATCCCTCATCTTCTCGCGCAGCAGATCTGCCCGGGCGTAGTCCCGTGCACGCTGCGCCTCGCGCCTCTCTGACAGCATCTCGCGGAGCAGTGCCTCGGTCGCCTCATCAAGCTGAGCCGTCGACTCTGGATCGCAAGTGTAGCCTCCGGCAGGGGAAAGCGTGGTGTTGAGTGGAGCGGCGGCGGCAGCAGCAACGGCGGGGCCCACGAATCCAACCGCAGGCTCGGTCGCTGCGACGCCCGCGACGTCCAAGTTGATGCCTAGGCGGCGAGCGCGGGCAATGGTCTCGCTCTCGGAGATGTCCACACCAGCCCCCCCCTCCTTGGAGGCGATGTGCTCCTTGCCTGGCGTTGCAAAGCTAGCGTTGGCGCAGGGGGCCGCCTCTGGCGTACTCGGCGCCGGACGTGGATCGCAGAGCGGCATCGGCCCATTGTCCGCGTGCTGGCGGGGATGCGCATCGCCGGTGCTGCTGTCCGGGGCGGCTTCTTCCTCTTCGCCAGCGGTGTCCGCGACGGCTTCTGGCGGTTCGGATGGGTCGGTGCTTGGCTGGCACAGGCGCAATACCTCGAGCACCGTGAGCGAGACTGCCAGGGATCCGAACGGCCCGTCGTCTCGTCCGTCGAGCTGAATCTGGCCGCTCAAGTCTTGGCCATGCTTGAGCGTCTGGTGGAGGTTGAAGTAGCCGCTCGCAACCTCTTTCGCCTTCTTGCGTGGTCCAAGTGCACGCAGCGTGAAGGTCACGTCGGCGTCTTCCTCGTCTCGGCTGGCGAGCGCCTCGCGGAGCTTGGCCTCCGCTGCAAGCCCAATATGCGCTTCGAGCACACACGCAAACACAAACTCGCCCGCTGTTGCTTGCACGCGTGGGGTGGTGAGCAGATGATTGAGTCCGGGCATCTCCACCTCGATCCACGCCTCCATGCCTCCCACCTCCCTTGCGGCTGGCTCACCAAGAATCGAAAGCTTCTCAATGCGGACGGTGACGCTCCTTGCGTCATGTCCCGGGCTGCCAAACGTGAAGCCCATGCGGCAACTCACGCGGCAGCGCGCCGGGTCACACCGGTTCTAAAGCAACTTCGGCGATGCTGTTCGGCCGACGAAAAAACTCGAGGGGTGGCTCAACTTTGCGATATCTCGCCGACATTTGGAGGAGGTGCACTTCGGCCCGTGTTTGTTGTGTTCGGTGCGTGCAATATCTCTAAAAGAAAGAAAGAAAACAGGCAACCCAAGGGAGGGATGGGAGGACGGCACGCCGCCACCACACAGGGATTTTAAGGAGAGGAGTGTGGTGTTAGCCCTCGCCCACCCTAACCCTTGGTCGTCTGCCTCTTTCTATCTCCCTTCTCAGTCCCTCGCCGATTCTCGCTGCAACCCTCATGCCACCTCTCTCTCTCTCTCCCACCTCGCGGTCGTCCTACTCTCGTCGTTCTCCCTCCTGTCGTTTCCTCCTTCCTCTGTCCCTTCATTCAGCTGTGGTATCGGCATGCATGCCATCCGGCATCCTCATTTCATAGCCCTCGACATCCCGCTCCTCGTTGTTCTCCCAGTACGTCGCTGACCATGCCGATTTATTCTTCTTTTGGACCTGGAGGCTGTTGCCGCAGATCTTTGTCACTAACCAGGCACACTCTAGCCGTCTAGCGCGAGCTGCATCGTCGCAATATCTATCTCTCTGGGCGCGACTTTGGCTGTCGGTTTTTGTTCTATTTTGAGGCGCGTGCCTGCTCTCGAGGTTTTTAGTTCTTTTCGTGTGTGCTAGTCTGCGCCAGTCAGCGCCCTTGTCGTGCGTGTCAGAGAGGGTCCTCTCGAAGAATTCTCACTCAACGGTGCTAAGTGCATTGCCGCTCTTAACGGAGTCGCTTAGGCGGCTCCGGTGGTGTGCCGGTGATAGTACTAGCACGCGCCAGTTCGCACCTGTGTCGAGCCTGTCTGCTGTGATTGACTCGTAATTGTTTAAATTCTTACTCGACGCGGGGCAGCGAAGCGCGGTGCTTTCATGTCTGCAGTGAGCTGCCCTGTCTGCACCTTCCTCAACGAAGCTCCCCACGCCAGATCGTGCGAGGTCTGCGGCAGCGCCCTCGAGCCTCCGCAAAAGACGGCGCGGCTCGCCGAAACAGTCGACCTGTGCGACAGCGACGATGAGAGCGAAGCGGGCGCATCGAAGTCGTCCGGTGCGTCCACCTCGACCTCGGCATCCGCCTCGTCCGGGTCCTCTGCCGGCGGCAGCTGGCAGGACCGCTTCTTGCGCGATGGCTTTGTCATCCTGCGCGGCGCCGTCCCGGCGTCCGAGTGCGAGCGCTTCCTGTGGGCTGCGGTCGAGCCGGCGCTGGCGCGTGCCGGCATCGCCGTCCGCTCCTCGTCGACGTGGGGCGAGGAGGCCCTCGGTGCGGCCTGGGGAGACGAGGGAGGCGCCGTGCTGCGCGCGCCGGATGGCGGCGACCACCCGATCCCGCGGTGGGAGAGCGACTCGGCCTGGCCCGCTCTCTTCTCGTCGCCCGCGCTGCTCGAGGCGCTCGACGCGCTGCACGGCGGCCGACGCCGGTGGGGGTGGCGGCACGGCGCGGCGAGCGGCGTCGGCTGGATCCACCTCCGCTTCCCTGTCGACCCCGGCCTCGCTTGGTACAGCGTCCGCCCTCACCCCCAGCCTCACCACCGCCTCCACCATCGCCGCCGCCCTCCCCACCGGCGCCCGCCTCGCCGCCCTCGCCGCCGCCGCCCTCCCTCCCGCCGCCGCTGCCGCCACCCTCGCCTCCGCACCCTCGCTCGTTGTCGTCTGCTCTCCGTCGTCCCGACGCGCCCGCGACGCTTTTTCTTTCTCAGGCAGCCTCCGCACCCCCGCGAGGGCGGGTGGCACGTCGACGGCCCTCCCGACCGCGTGGACGGCCTCGGGTCGGTCGTCGTCCTCCCGCTCGTCACGCCGATCCTGCCGGGCGGAGGCGCGCACAGACATGCACACACACACACTACACTACACTACACTACACTACACTACACCACACACACACACACCACACACACACACACACACACACACACACACACACACACACACACACACACACACACACACACACACACACACACTGGGCCTTGCACTTTGAGATGCCGTGTCAGCTGCTGTCTTTCGACGTGGAGTCGCGAGGGATAGCCGTGAGGACAGCCTGACCTCGCCTTGCCTCACCGTCCCTCAGGCGGGACAGCGCTGCTGCGCGGCTCGCACAACCAGGTGGCGCGCTACCTGCACCTCCCCAGACCTCTCCCAGACCTCTCCCAGACCTCTCCCAGACCTCTCCCAGACCTCTCCCAGACCTCTCCCAGACCTCTCCCAGACCTCTCCCAGACCTTTCCCAGATTTTTCCTTCCACACCCAGGTGGCGCGCTACTTGCACGCGCACTCGCCGGCAGCTGCCCGGCGCGGCCTCGGAAAGCTTGTCACGGAGGCGGTTGCGGCCGCCGCCAGTGGCTCCGCCGCCCGCCCGCGCGGCGGCGGCGGGCTCGGCGGCGCGCGCCCTTCCCCGCGGCGATCTCGAGGTGTTACGAGGCTGCGAGATGACGCTGGAGATTGCGCGGGCGTAGGCGAGACGGAGGTGGTGGAGGCGACGGGCGCGGCGGGGGACGTGTTGCTGATGCACCCGCTCCTGATCCACGCCGCGTCGGCGGCCCACAAGCAGACGCTGGCCAGAGACCCTAGAAGCGGAGACCGAAGTAGAGGCCGTTTGTAGTCCGACTAGCACTCGAGAGGACACGGTCAGCTGCATTCCGCCGTACTCGCTTGCATCTCGCTGCATCTCGCCGTATCACTGCCTTCGCAGCCCCCGTGTTCACGCGGTGCTCTCAACACACCGCACGAGACCGTACTCACACCCTGACACTGGGGTAAGACACACCGCAGGCGCGGGACGCGGGCAGCGGCCGCTGGTCGCTGCGGCCGCACGGCATCCGCGTCTCGTTCAACCTCGCCACCGGCTGGGAGGC